GGGTCTACAGGCCCAGCCTAGGCCTTCGTCATGTAAGTGGCGCGCGCTCAGGCCTAACCTAGCCCTTGCTGTTCAACGGTTCCATCCATGCCACGTGGTCGTGTTGTACATGTTGTAGGCCTATCAATAAATTTAACTTACCAAACTATCCCAAACTTTCCCCCACGTCTTTGAAGAATGTCTTGTGAGAAAAACATCGCGTCAAATTCGATTAAACCTGTTGAACTTAGGCCTATTTAGTATTTGAACGACAATGCCAGTTGTCTCTTCAGCCACGACACTATGACACCAGAGGTTGTTGTGCACTAGCTAGCTAATTAGCGCACAGAATAACTTAACACCGGCCGATCTGATTGGTCACTGACTGTCGACACATGCGTTGTACGTGTACGGTAACCGGTTCAAGTCGAGTATGTTCACGTCACTGATAACTTAACACCGGCCGATCTGATTGGTCACTGACTGTCGACACGTGCGTTGTACGTGTACGGTAACCGGTTCAAGTCGAGTGTGTACACGTCACTGATCAGTGGTACACGTACGTACGCCTGTGGCGTACCGTATGCGTGCAAAGTTAACATTTAATCCGCGTCATGCATTAGAGATGTGTACGCAGATCATGCATGATCATGCATGATCTGCGTACACATATATCTCTGTTCTTAATAGAGATATTTCTATTATTAATAGATGTATCTCTGTTACTAATAGAGATATATCTATTAATAATAGAGATATCACTATTTTAATCCTGTTAAGAAAGATATCTCTAATATGTTTCCGGTCCTGCACACAGGGTAAACGGAAAGGTCATTGTAACGCAACGCACAAAGTTTCAGTGAGCCAGAGGTTGTGTAAAGTTTCCTACTGTAAACAACCACACGAGTACGGTACATTTACAAATATACTGAGACACGGATTGAAAGCCCTCAAGATAATAGATTTTTAAACCCAAAATTTCGAGGGCGACCTGCTGACCTCGGAAGCGGTAACTTAGTAGAGACATCTCTGTTGCACAATAGATCTCTATTAGGAATAGAGATATCTCTATTCCGTGAATAAATGTTAACTTGGTACGTTTAGGAATAGAGCTATTCCGGGATTAACTTAAATGTTAACTTTGCAAGCGCGCACGCACCACTGGCCGGGTGCGTCCGATAGTTCCCTGAATACACCAGTGTATACACGCAAGGGAAACCTCGAAATGAGGCTAATCGGACAATGCGGTGTATTCTGGGGATAGAGTCAAGTACGCACCACGTTCCCATCATGTCCATGCATGGTCGCACAGTCCATCCTTGATGTCATTACACTCGGGCAACCTAAAGTTGCACTACACCAAATTCACGCCAACAGAAAAGAAAATCGGATCGAAAGTAGCGCCGCCTGTTGACTCTTTTGGAAAGGAGGGCCTCTGTTTTTTCACTGGAAATTCAAGACTATGGCCAGAAGATCACTTTTCGTTTCAATGTCATGGGGTTAGCCACGAAAAAAAATTTTATTCGCCTTTGAACAAAGATACCCCAAAGTAGCAGTAAAACTAAGCGCTCATTTCTGAATGTAGCCTCCTGCCCCTGTCCAAAATAGGTCCACAATTTGGGGCTTTTGGTGAAAGAAATGCCCGAACTGGAAAATATTGGTCCCGAATTCGGGATTTATAGAAATGTTTCTATGATGACTCCTGATTATGGCCTGTATTATTGTAACAAATCTCGTGGAATCACAAAATATTAATGACCTCGCGCACAGAAATACAACCATTTGGTGGAATGCACCCTTTAACATTATGTAGAGGGCCGGTTTCGCAGTAAAATTGGCTCAAAACGAACAAAGTCTGTCCAAAAAAGAAAAACCAATTCAAAAAATTGAATACGCTTTCTTGTTTATCTTCTGATGGATAGTACAGTATGTCCGTTACCACTGAATGCGGCAGTGTTTTGTGCGCAATGATAGGCTAATTCAGTAAAGAAACGGAGAAATCAAACATCTTCTGCAAAACTGCAGGACAAATAGAAAAACAACTAAAAGAAAGACGACGAGCAGACACAGTTGTTGATTGGACCTTTCTAATTTTCATTTCCCCTGCGCCTGGGGAGAGGTTTTTCGGAAGAAAAAATACGGGGGTTCAGGCCTTTTTCCAGTTATTACAGGACTGAATAGTCAATAAGCCCTTCCAAGAGACACCGTGTACATTCCTCTGATCTTTGGTTATAATTGTTCCTGTTTTGAAAAGTTCCAAGGGAAACATGTTCATTTTCTCCTCCCGTAAAGAAAATAGTCTTGAAAAGAGAACAGTGCGCCCCTTTTGGTGTGCTGCCATGGGCGTGCCGCCATCTTGTCTTTACAATATCTCCTGGAGGGCCAGTTTCGCAGTAAAAATGGCTGAAAACGAAGTACATGTAAATCTATCCAAAATAAGAATACCAATTCCAAAAATTGAATACGCCTTTTTGTTTTTCTTCCGAAGGATAGTCCAGATTGTCCGTTGCGACTGAATGCGGCAGTGTTTGGGGCGCAGTGACAATCTTATTCAGTAAACGAACGGACAAATCAAACATCTTCTGCAACACTGCGGGACACAGAGCAGAACAACTATAAGAAATAGGAGGAGCAGGCAGAATTGGAGATGAGACCTTCCTAATTTTCATTTCCCCGGCGTCCGGGGGAGGTTTTTGGAAGAAGAAATACGAGGTTTCAGGACTTTTTCCAGTAAGTATAAGCCCCTCCAAAGAGTCACCGTGTAAATTCCTCTGATCTATGGCTATAATCGTTTCTGTGTTGACAACTTCTCAAGACAAAACTGCTCATTTTCTCCTCTCGTAAATAATAAAGCACTAAAAGAGAACAGGGCGCCCCCTTTTGGTCTGATTCCGTGGGCACCGCAATCTTGTCTTTACAATATCACCTAAAGGGCCGGTTTCGCAGTAAAAATGGCTCGAAAAGAAGAAAAATCTATCCAATATAGGAAAACCAATTCCATAAATTGAATACGCTTCCTTGTTTTTCGTCTGAAGGGTAGTACAGATTTTCCGTTTCCACTGAATGCGTAAGTGTTTTGTGCGCAATGACAATTGGGTTTAAATGGGTTAGGATGTGCTGGGCTGAATTTGAGAAGTGAGCAGCTCCTCTCCCACTGAAAAATCCCATCGTATACCACGGCGTCTCAACATTAGCCTCTTCTAACCAAATCCTACTGTCTGGCCTCTTCGTGCTAGCCGTTTTTTACTAAATGGCAGAGGGTTTCAGCGTGTTTCTGGCACTATAACCAGGTGCTCCGGGTACGTGGAGCTCGTAGGCTTCACTGCCAGTCCACCTAGGAGAGGGACAACTCTGATCACAAACCGGGGCAGGCAGAACTCGTTAGCCTAGGTCGGCAGTCTGCCTAGGAGATGGACAACCCCGATTTCAATCCCAGGCAGGTAGTACTCGTTAGAGCGGTTCTACAGGTGTTGTGAAAAGACCGGCCACTCCCAGCAGCCTCTCCAGTCACCGATAGTCCTGACTTCGTCATGCTATCGCTACCAGCTGCAGGTAGGTGGTCAGGTCGGTGGTGCTGAGGACTGCCCCCCCTCCCCATCACCTCAATCTCCTCATTGAGCAGGTTTTTCTCCCCTTTTATTTTCCATGCGTCCTGTGGCGACGGTTGGGCCGTGACGGGGGCAAGACCTGGATGGGACTAGCAGCCCCTAGCCTGCCCGCTGCACGTACGGCGGCGCAGGTGTAATGGCTGTCTGGGGCCGGGACGGAGCAGCGTCCCCATTTGGTACCTGCCTGTGCGACCGAGCAGCCCTTTTTAGGGCCCGCACTGCTCGCCTCTCTGTGAGGACGGGCCTGGAAAAGATGGTCTAAAAATCGTCCGCTTTTTCTCTTCCTGGCGAGTAGCCACGCCCGCCAGGACATCCCTTTTGCGGTCGAAACAGAATCAATCGACAGAATATTACACCTTGCTGGCTTTTGCCGGTATATCGTTGTAAGATTGCAACATGGAACATTCGCACAATGATGGACTCCACGGTGCCCACAGCCAGTGAACGCCTACCACAGCGCACAGCCCTCATCGCAGCTGAGCTCAGACGCTACAATATCGACACTGCTGCTTTGAGTGAGACTTGGCTTGCTGCAGAGGACACCCTCGCCGAGGTTGGTGAGGGTATACCTTCTTTTGGAGAGGGCTCCCAGATGAAGCCACCAGAATCCATGGTGAGGGGTTCGCTATCAAGACATCCCTCTTTAACCATCTGCCAGAGGTGCCTATTAACTTGAGTGAGCGGCTCAGGACTCTCTGTGTCCTCTTGGCAGCTCGGAGACATGTTACCATTATTGTTCTCCTGAAGACATAAAGGATGAGTGCTATGACCTTCTTGACCAGACACTCCGTGCCAACCAACAAGACTATCCTTCTCGGTGATTTCAACGCTTGGGTCGGCTCAAATTATACTGTCTGGGGTGGCGTCATCGGCAGGCACGGGGTCGGTTCTACCAACTCCAACGGAGTCCGGCTCCCAAACTTATGTGCAGATCACGACCTTACCATCACCAATACGGTTTTCTAGCTCCCCCACAAGCGTAAAACCACATGGATGCATCTCCGCTCCAAGCACTGGCACCTAATCGACTATGTTATAGTCCAGCGCTGTGATCTTAATGACGTATTCGTCACCAGAGTTCTTCAGGGTGCCGAGTGCTGGACTGACCATCGTCTAGTTTGCTCCCTTTTTAAGCTCAGTATTCTACCTCCTTTTCGAAAGAGAGCTGGCAGACGACGGCTTAACTGTGGTGCCCTACGGGATCTCAGTAAGAAGCAGCAATTGCAGGAGAGTTTGGCCAGTGGTTTGACTGTTTGTACCTCAACTTCTCTCTCCATGTTTCGTGCTGCTTCCAGGTCCATAAATGCAGCTAGCCAGTCCACCGCTTTCACCGATGGATCCTTCACGGATCAATGGAACACCTTGTCGTCCACAATCTTTGAGGTCGCCACTGGGGTCTTGGGTCACACTCGCAGACGTCACCAGGGTTGGTTTGATCACACCTCTACAGGGATTCACAACCTCCTGAAGAGGAAGAATGCTGCACACGATGCCGTTATCAATAACCCATCTTCTAGCACCCTCCAAGCCCATTTTGCTGAGCTTCACTCCTTTGCACAGACCCGTTTTCGGCAGATGAAAAATGACTGGTGGAGGAACAAGGCCTATTAGATCCCAAGACCTTGCTGACGCCCATGATCTTCATGGTTTCTATGACGCGGCTAAGACCATCCACAGACCGATCAGAGGCACTTTAGTTCCTGTGAGATCTGCTGACAACTCTACCCTCATCAAGGACCGCCAAGGAATTCTTGGCCGC